TGGCAGTCCTCTGAAGTATTGCCAGGCTGCCAGTGGTAGAACAGGGCATACCAGAAGGCAATTGTCTTGCCGCCGCCCGTTGGGACATCTAGAAAAGTGCTGACCCCTCTGAGAATATTCTGGCCGGCTTCCTCCTGGTGTGGATGAAGGGATGGGAGACCAAAGACATCGCAAAGGGTTTCCGCGGCGATTTTAAGTCGTTCTGGGTCCAGTATCGCGACGGGAGTGAAAGGCATGTAGTTGCCCCTATTCCCCTGAGCTAAACAAGATCGGATCAGCCAGGGGTTAAAATTGACTGATTTAAAATTTGGAGAACATGGAGACTCTTAGAATTCTACCCTCTAGAGAACTGTCTATTCAGATTTTTGAAAGAAGAAAGTCGGTCGCAGAGGCTCGCTCGCAAAATGACAAGTTTTTTATAAATCTCGGCAACTTCCGACTGTACTAATTTGGCGGATTATCTTCCAGTCCCTATCGGGTACTGATCAAACGACCATCTTTGATCTGTGCACTTTTCTGATAGGACTGGTTCGAGTCTACTCCGCATTGACGCCGGGCGCGCAGGATCGCAGATGCGCGTTCGCGACCGAGCTAGTGCAAGGCATGGAGCATCCCCCATGTTCCCCTCGCTTTCCCCGCACCCCATATTGCCGCCGTTTCTAGGACTGCGCGCGCGGGATCCATCGCAGACGCGCGGTCGGGACAACTTCAAGGCTTGGCGCATCCGAACGTGCTCCGCCTCTGTCTCCCGCTCCGTAACGGTATCGCCGCCATCTCCAAGAGCGCGCGCATGAGCATCTGCGGGCTCCCGTTTGCTTGAGTTGCCCCACGGTTGCTCTGTTACTTCTCCGATTCCCCGAGAAGCTGCCTGCTGGGGGCCTCTTCTTGCCCACGTCTGCACCCTCGAGTCTCGCTTCCTGCTGTCGAGCCGCGACCTACGCTCTGCGCTGGCCAGGAACTGACTTCCGCTGGACCTCGAGCTGCGAAACCGATCGCATGGCGCGGCGAGTGAGATGTTCCTTTTCTTCACTATTGCTTTGATGCCTCAGAGCTGGATTATCGGGACGGCCTCAATAATACCATTCTTGTGTTTACCTTCCGTGGATCCCCCATCTACAACTTCTGCGATGCTTTCCGCACTGAGAGCGGACTCGCCGTCCTCGAATTCAGCCCGTTTGTGCGCGGTGGGTGCGTGCTTGTATTCCTCCGTTCTTGGCGCCTTCAAATCCTTATCAACTGAAATGGATCGCGGACGACCGGGATCTCTGCTTTTACCCCGCATGGTAAAGATCGGGGGCGAATGTCTTGCGCAGCACCTGTCTACGGACTGGCTTCGGCCCGCGCGCAGTTCTCGGTTCGAGATTCTCAGGCTCCTTGCAACTTTCGCCGGATACTTTAGGAATCATACCCCTACCGAACCGGATGCCATCGACGCTCTCCCCGCAGAGTGATGAGTCAGTACCATAGATCTAGTTTTATTAAAATCCATGGTATTTACGTGATTAGAAAGTTACCACCCTGCTTATTTAAGTTTAAAGAGAACTCTTATGCTTCACAGCTTTCTCGATTGCCCACGGGTCATCATGATTCTCAGAATGAACACAGCAGTATTGTCCCAAAGTGGGAAGCCTACAGCTATGACTGAAGCTGTGCGCTATTCTAAACGTAACAGCACTGCACCACAAGGCTTCCGTCCTTCGTTTGCGCTCTCTCCTTCCTGTCCATCCCGACCATGAACTCATTCACCCGCCAACCGACCCTCGACAGTGTGCGCAGCTGGTGGTCCGACAGCAACCCGACCGGTCCCAACATCAACATACATGCACTCGCGAAGCCCTTGATGAAGCTTATGTATCACCGGCAGGCGCTGGATTACATCGCCAAACATCGCGACACACTGGTTTCGAGGGAGAATATAGAAATTTATGCCAGTTACCTCCGGTCTGAGGCTTACTTCTCCCGAACTTCGGTTGACTGATCCCATGCACAGGTTCAAATATGTATTATCCATCACAAAAATCGCGGTTCTGAGGGACCTGATTGCGAGAGTCCAATCTAACGACGACGTGGTCGCTGTGGCAGATTTCATTTCATTGTTTCCCTGCGCCATCTTGCTCGAACCACGAAACGCGAATGTCCAGGGCTGGACGTGCCGGCTGCTGGGAGCCCTGGCAAACCGGCGTCCGGGTCGCACTGTCACCTGGTTGGCCAACGTCTGCAAAAAGCTTGTATCACTCTTGCAGTGAGTGTCGGCAATTTGTTTCCGATGCAGAAGATCCTTGATTCAGGACTAGGGATGAGAGTGAAAATGTCCGACTGGAGACGTTCTTGGCACTGTGGTCGATTGCCAGAAATCCCAAAGGCGCGCAGGCTCTCATCGACGTCCATGTGCTAGATGGCTTGGCGGAACTGGTGAAATCCCCAAACTCTAGTGTTCGGTCGCGAGCTTGTGATCTGCTGGAGGCACTGGCATCCCAGAAAGTAACTGTGCCGGCTTCCTTGGTGGTAACTCCATGTCAGCAGCTGGTTGCCCTATTACGGTGGGCTCGATTCCTCGTTTTTAACCACGGTATTGATACCACATCAGTGGCGAAAATCGGCTTATCATGCAGAGTGCACTGGCGGCACTCTATTGGATTACAAAATTGCCTGAAGGCATGCAGGCGGCGATAGATGCAAAACTGCTCGACCACGTTGCCGAACTTCTGGAATCGCGGATGTTGCATACTCAGAAATGGATGTGCAAGATGCTCGCGGCCCACGACGGCATGTTGGCCACTCTCGTTGGGAGAATGCACTGCAAACAGTTGGCATCATTTCTGTAGTGAGTCTCAGGTATTGTATGTGGACAAGGTGCTGACTCTCAATTAATGGAAGTCTAGAGCATAATGTGTATGCGGCAGAGGCACTGCGTTGGATTTCTAAATCCCCTGAAGGCGCCCAGGCTGTCGTGGATGCAGGTGTATTGAAATCGGTGAACTCTCTCCTTGGCTTAAGCGGTTATGTCCAGAGGGAGGCATGCAAGATGCTTGGAGCGTTGGCGTCCCACGGCTCTACAGTGACTGCCGTCCTGCGCACAACGCCTTGTGTGCGGCTTGTATCACTTTTACGGCGAGTTTGGCTCGGATATCACCGAAATGAAATTTGTACTCATTCGAGAACGAGCACAGTGACATTTGGGTCCGAGACGCTGCAGTCTCCGCTCTCGCCCAAATCAGCGAGCATCCTGAGGGCGTCGCAGCAATTGCAGCCACAAACATCCTGGGGCACGTTTCGACTCTCATGGAAAATCGAGGTCGTGCAATGCAGTTTCAAACATGCATCATTTTGCGAAACCTGTGTCGGAGGAGGAGGAGGAGGTAAATTATACTGACACGTTGGAACTGTCAGTTTACTACGTAGAACATTGTAACTTATATAGGCTAAAAGATACCTGCCCTATACTGAACATAGAACACATGTTCTGCCAGGAGGGGGGCGGAAAGTTTAAGGAGATCGACGACGTCCCCAGCCTGGCTCGGACAAGAGCAGCAGGTTGCTCGGTTAAGACCTTGTGTGTGATCCGGTCCCATTCCTACTAAAACCCCGGCGGCCAGGACCCGTTTAATCACTATCAGCCCCGAGGGCAGGGTGAATCATGAAGCAATCTTCAATGCTCTGCTTTAACCGCAGCTCATTTTTCGGGATCACTGTACTTGATTTAGAGTTGAGTCTGAATGAAATTTAAGTGCCCCGGCCGACAGGTCCTACTACAGAGCTTCCTTACCTCCAAGAATAGGGGGGTTTCACATCACCGATTGCCCAGGATCGGTTCGAACGAGCTATTCTTACATAATTCACCGCCAACCTTACTGATTGCAGGCGCAGACCATCCACTACTAGGCCTTCTTTTTATACCTGCAAATATGGTTGAATCAGCATTATTTCGTTGTCTTCGCAAATAAAAGACAAGGGTACACGTCGTACGGCCCAATACGGCCCAGGCTCGATTCGAACGAGCATCTCCCGTGGGACAGGCTCTGAACATATCATTGAGAGCAGATCTGGAATCAATCATTCACCACTGGCCTTCATATGGTCCCTGCGTGGCACTGCGAACTGATTTAAATTAGTGTTGGTTCATCCATTCCGCGAAAAATAAACAAGTAGAGCGCGCGCGGCCCAGGCTCGATTCGAACGAGCATCTCCCACGGACCGGCTGTCAAATATGATCATTGAGTGCAGAAGCGGACCATCTGATACTAGCCCTTCATCCGGTCCCTGCGAATGAATTTAATTAAGATCGTTCTTTGACTAGGAGGATAAAAAGATGAGGGCAATCATTGATGGCCCAGGCTCGATTCGAACGAGCCTCTCCTGCATAGTCTAAATAATTGAGTACAGGTGTGGACCATCCGCTACTGGGCCTTCCTCTGGTCTCTATTACGCAATTTAAATCAGCATTGTGTTCCGGTGACTTGGAGAATAAAATGGCCAGGTCTGATTGGCATTATGGCCCAGGCTCGATTCGAACGAGCTATTCCTGCAGAAACACCTTGGCAGAAATCAGCTATTGAGTGCAGGTGCGGACCATCCGCTACTGAGCATTGTTTTCTTACCTACGGTGTAAGCCAAATTCATACCATTTCGTTGATTTTCGAAAAAAAGACGGGAGCTAGAGAACCAGAGCCCGGGCTCGATTCGAACGAGCATCTCCTGCAGACATGCATATGAAGAGATATAGAAAGCAGGCGCGGACCATCCGCTACTGGGCGTTCTTGGACCTGTGAACGTGATTAAATAAGTGTTGTTTTGGCCGGCCCTGGGGGAAAGGAAATACAGATGGCGAACCAGGGCCCAGGCTCAATTCACACGAATTGTGCCTGCTGAATACTCTTTCGACGATATCGGATCGGATGCATGCGCTTATCATCCGCTACTGGGCCTTCATCCAAAGCCTATCCACGACTTTAAATGAGCGTTATTCGTTGACTCGGCGAAAAAAATCGAGCAGCCCAATAGAACCCAGGCTCGATTCGAACGAGCACCTCCTGCTGACAGGCTTGCAGAGAGGATATATTGAGAGCAGGCGCACACCATGCGCTACTGGGCCTTCCGCTGCTCCTACAACACGTTTAAGTCAGCGTTGGTTCGTTGTCGGTCTGAAGGAAACATCGGAATGTTCACGGTGCAAGGCCCAGGCTCGAATAGAATGAGCATCCCCCGCAGATACAGTGTTTAACGGGGAAGCGAAATGCATGGGGAAGCGAAATATTCGCTGTCCCGCGCCTTCAGGGCGCTGTATGTAGCCGAGTTTTTAGTACACGATACTAATAGATAAAAAACCCTTGGTTGCAAAAGGATTCGTCCACAGAACTTTCTGGGAGCCCAAGAGATCCAATTCTCTGTTTCCACGCTCATTTGCCGGATTTGGTCAAAGTTGGGCATCGGGCTCGGTCCTGGACTAATGAATACTCATAATTCTGCACATTTGGGGGTTTTCGGGGGCGAGGATCACGAATATCGACATGCCAGAAGCCATAGATGACTCACTGCGCGATAATCGCGCGCATTTCGCTTCCACGTGATGTGATCAATTTGGCGGTTACACAATATGGCTCTCGTTCTCCACCAGAACAGGAGCAATTGACACAGGACTTTGTGCCACGGGGTAGCCAGGATGTTGTACCTGCGATATATATATAAATCCTTGATGGTTTGCGACGTGATTGCCTCTTGAATGGCGAAATCGCTTGAACGTTTCGCTTCCCCGTTAAACACTGTAGGCTTCTGGAGGGACATCGAATAATTGGGAGTAGGCGCGGACCATCCGCTACCGGGCCTCCATCCACCAGCTAGGAGCCCACTTAAATCAGCGTTATTTTGGGGGTTTGCGGCGGGCCGGCGGCGTTTGTTCCTTCCACGCATCTGGATTCTGCTAACATCCGGCGGCAGAGAGCACGTCAGAGACGCATCTGCGGATTCCTGCCAGACAAATGGATTAGAAAGAACGCGAACGCCACCGGCACAGCAGGCATTAGTTGCGGTTGAGAGATGACGAGCAAAGCTGGTCACGGTCACGGTGACTCGGGACCAAAAAGGGCGGGTGGCTGTGTATCTCTGCTTCACGTCTCACAACTTCGTCGATTCTCAGGTTATTTTTGAGCAGCGGTGCTAGCGTCGCAGTAATTCTCGCTGCGACAACGCGCTCGTCGCCCATCGCCTCGAACGCCGCGTCAATGTTGGCGCTGGTACGTCCCCCAATGCAATCCTCCCGCTTTCTCCCTAATAACGTATTGCCTGTTCTTCAAGTCCGCGTGCGAGGGAACAAACGAATCCAAGATGCGTGGCGCCCCACCCGTCGCAGTACGCGTCGGGCGCGGTGTCCCTCCGCCCGCCCATCCTCCAGTCATCTGACCACCGAGGCACTCCGCTCAGTACTTCAGCTTCAGCCCACGCGTGACGCGCCCTGCCCCGAGGGCATAAGCCGACCTACCAACGCCGACAGCCCATCGACGTTATGCAGATCGCGTCACAGCCCGGGGGTCCCTATGCCCGCCGTATTATTACAACGTCTAAGCCCAGCAGCATGGTGATCGCGTCGCAGACCTGGAGCATCCGTGCGTCCTCCCATCGATATCCCTCCCCCGGAATCTGGATTTGGGACGTCTGCAGGGCCGCCGACTCGGAGCGCAGGTGCTCGCGACCGAACGAGTTCACGTCGGCGGTGCAGTGCATGCATGCCTCGTTCGTTTTCCTGCCCTTCGTTTTCCGAGCCCCGCATTGACGAGATCTGTAGGCGATTCCGAGATTTCGAGAACGCAGGGCATGCACGGACGCCTGGAGTATGCGTACATTGACGACATCTGCAGGGTGCCGACTCCCGGGCCGAGCGCAGGGACCGGGTGCGTCTTCGCGAATCGCGACTCGGGGCGCGTGCACAGCGTCGGAGAAGTAGTGCAACGACTCGAAGGAGGGCGAGGCAGCCATGTGATTAATGATGGCGGATTCTCTGCCATCTGTACGTCCCCTCCCTCCGTCCCCCCCTCTCTCTCCCTCCTTCCCCTTCCCCGAGCCCCATATTGATCTCCCTCAGGAATCAGGCACGCCGACTCCGAACGCACACATAGGGAACAGAAACAGAAACATTGCGAGGCCGTGGGGATGGAAGGGAAGGGAAAGCGACGATACGACGGCTCAGTCAAGAGATGACCCTCGATCCTCAGTTGCCGGCATGCAGATTTGGCGCATGCATATCTGTGCGCCCTTCCCTCCCTCCTCCCGCAGGCTTCCCGTGTTGACGACGGCTGCAGCCTGAGGGGCGGCGCGCACATGGCTCGAGGGACGCAGATGACGCCTCAGCGACTCAGAGAGGGAGTACAGAGTGTAGACTGCAATGGGGCAACAACGGGCTCGGGATGGGTGCGCGAAGCTGTCGGTGGTGGGCAGCGCGCGCGCGGTTCCCGCTGCCCAGTAGCTTCCCGACGCGACGATGAGCGAGCGAGTGTGCAAGGGAGGACGGCGACCGGGCGGACGAGCCGTGGTGCGGGCTGGCTTTGGAAAGGGAGAGGCGGGCGCCGGCACGATACGCGTTCTTCGCGCAGCGCCGACTCCAAGCGCACGAGGACGGAAAACGGCGTGCGCTCCTCCCTGCTTCACCCGTTCCCTCCCTCTCGACGCCGCCTCTCCTCCCCGCCTCTCCTCAACGTTCCCTTCCCTCCCGTGTCCAAGCGCACGAGAACGGCTTGCGCTCCTCCCCCTCCCCTCCACATCCCCTTCCCTCCCGTGTGCGGGACATGCCCGAGCACCGCCTCCGAGCGCACGAGAACGGCGGGTTCGCCTCCTCCCTCCACCCTCCATCCTTCCATTCACTCTCTCGTTCTCCCGCGTTCACCCCCTCCCGCGTCAAGGACATCCCCGCAGCGCCGGCTCCTGAGCGAGAGGCTGCAGGACGCGAGAGGGGCGAGCGGGGGCGGGACAACGCGAGGGGGGCTGGGGAACGCGAGCAGCCGGGACGGGTGCGCGCGCGGCTGCGCGGAGGGCGAGGGAAGGCGAGGGAAGGCGAAGAGGGGTCATGTGTGCGCAGCGCGGCCCCTTCGTGGTGGTGGTGCTCGCGAGTCGCCTTCCTCGCCCGTGGACCGCGGTCGCCGCCTGCGCAACGATCCTGGTTCCCCGATCCAAGGGCATGCGCGCGGCGATGCTGCACGGCGCGAGAGCGGTATTTCCGCGATGCCTCGCGTCGTCTCCGGGCTCCAGTCAAGTCCGCCGTCAGCTACTCTGCCCTACCAAATGTACAGTAGTAGTCCTGAGAGCCACCTATATAAGCCCTTCTCATCCTGATGCATGTATGGTTTCGAGGAGAATGAAAAAAAGGGCGGAAATCCCAAACTACATCCACTTTCGTCGTCGAGCATCCAGCTCAGTTTTGCTCGCTGGACTCCATTACACCTCCCTATGTGATGTACAAGTAGGGAGCTTTAATCCATCCCTCCGTCAGTCCGCACCGTGGCCTGCGCCCCCGCCGTCGTGCCCGCATATCGGCAATTGTCGGCCAATTGATAGCAGCACTGCCACCCTGCGGAACTAGCGGTGAAATCTACTCTGGAAACATGCGGAAGTCCCCCCTGCATCTTTCCCCACCGGTGACCCACGCACCTTGTCTCCGATATTGATGTTTGGATCGAGATGGTCTCTGTAAATAAACCTAGATTAATTAATATTCAGCGACGCACTACCCGCTTTCACGAACACATGTCGCATGACGCATCGAATTGACAAGTTAGCGATGCCTCGGGCGGAGAATGAACACGACAAACCAGAATGAAATGAAGTGTTCTCGGCCAGACTGCATAAAGTCTAAAGTCGCCAAAATAGTCATGGCGGCGCAACGGTTAAAACAAGGTCAAGCTTCTATCGATTTTTTCATAGACGTGGCAAAGACGTGGTGAGGGCTGAGTATTGCTCCGAATCTGTGTCACGGTGCTCCACCACCGAATTTGATGGGACTTTGGCGCCTTCATGGGCTGTGTATTCTGTTTCGGTGGGTCGGGCGGGATGGTGCGAGGATTAATGTAAGGAAGGGTGAGTGCGTCACTTCGCGCGTGGTCTGTGCACGGTCTCGAAACTATAAAATCCGCACCTGGATCTGACAACGCCCCATCCTTGTGCAGGGGTGCAATCTGTCGTGAGTGAAGTAACAATACCGAGACACAGAGTTTGCCAGTTTCAAATTACCACCCCCCGTCTGCGTACATCACAGCAATTTTTGGAACTATTTAGGGCTTCTTGGTATGGCGATGATGCTCAGGCGGCGTCGGAAGATCTTGGAGTCTGTGCGATACTACTATACTGTTTATTAGGGCCTCCCAGCGAGATTTCCCAACTTTATTATTGTATACGGGTTGTAACAATCAAATGCGACTGAGACCTGGCACGGATTTCACCGTCGAAGTTGAAGACGGCTTCTCAATGAACCAAGTCCTCAATCAGACCATGCATTCCTCAGGTGATATGGAGACAAGCATGCACATGGATGTGGGCCTTGATTAACCGCACAGATGCTAACTATCTTCTCAATCACTTCGTGCTGCGGTCTGGCGGGATTCCAAATCTACGTCCCTGGTAGGAGCGGAAGATCACCAAAGAGGCACTAGTTTCTCGCCAGATTTGAATCCACATGTGTTTAGAGAAACTTTCAATTGCTTACTTGAACGACTTGGTTTTGTCATCGAAAGCTCGCTGTAGCAGTTGGAGTCACTGGGAGAGGCGATATTGGCAACACCGGGGCTTCTGAGGGGCCGGAGGGTGGCGCCTGTACACCCCAGCTTTCTGCATCAACGATCTCCGCGATGAAATTGCATACAATTATTGAAGGCTACAGGACGGTTATGCGCCGTGTAACAGATGTGAGCACACGGCACGTACGGATGGTAATCCCCACGTCAATTCAGGGATGAATTCTCGGTGCGTCCAGTATAAGAGTCTGAAAAGGTGCGACCCTGGAAGTAGAGGAGTCGGATCAACAAATGAAAGCCAGCGGGGCAGAGCCTCGGAAGAACTGGATCCTTGTCCTGCTTGCATGTAGACTCCGACCGTTGCTGGTGGGATCGCGAC